TGTTGCACAGTTTAACTAACACACACCTCATCATTTCATTTTCTGGAGAAATACAGACAATACAGTTGCTCAATCCAGAAATTCAGGTGCTTGCCCCAGTAATGATAAATGTATCCTGTATAGCCAATTTCCACATTCGGAATTCTTTATGTAACAAACTCTGCTGTCATCTCATCTGCTTGTGGTCAATCCTAATGTTAAAGTCAAGCCTTAAAGATGGCAGGGTTCTCCTTCTTATGGTGTCCAGTCTGCTAGCTGTAAATACAACACTATTCAGAACGTAATATTGTTTGGGAAGGGTTGTGTTTCAGTGAGGTGAGCTGTGACTAAATTAGATCAAGCTATATTTTAACATACAGTTCTAAACTACTGAGGCCCAGGGAGTAAGGGCCTTTGGCCCTGATTCTGAAAAAAGGATTCCTGTTCAGGTAAGCACTTATGCACACATTTAACTTCATGCATATGCCGAAGTCCTTTGTAATCAATCGTTCTTAAATACTTGCTTAAGTTCAGCATGTTCTTAAGTGCTTTCCTGAATAGGTGCTCTAGATATGGGAAAATAAGAAAAGCTGCTATCAGTTGCAATGCTTTCAAGTAGCCTAAATCTCTGTGACCATAGTTATTGTATTGCATTGTATTGTATGAAATAACCCAACCAAAGGCTCAGTTTTATCCATACCTTTTTATTTATTTCTGAAGTAGGGGACCATTGCTTTAAAATCCGTAGACATTAGGACATATTTTACAAGACAGTACAGTTTCTGAATGTCACACATTGATCACAGTTTCATACCACTACATGCATATCAAGACATTGATTTTTTTAAATTAATTTTTACAGAAACAACTGGCGTGATCAATAAACTTCAACAACGAAGGACTAACTTAAAGTTACCAAAGGCCCATAAAAACAAACAAACAAACAAACACACAAACAAACCCACATAAGAGTCCAAGTGCACTAGTATATGGCTAATGGGATCATAGGTACCCCAAAACATAAGGGTGTTGAGTAGACAGTGCTCAAATGGTGAAAAAACATCTTCTGATGCACTGTCTCTATAGGGCAGTAGGACTTTTATGGCAACAACTGCCCTTCAATGTACATTTTGGGCCTAATTTACCAAAGCCTCCACTTTCCACAGGTATAAAGTGCAAAGCAGTGGAGTATCAGACCTCATATTTTCGGCTCTTTCTCACTATAATTCCACCCAAATCTGCCAGGAAAGTCCCAGGATATTTTTCCAGTTTTTATTTGGTGTAAATACCAGCTTTGCTTTTCAATTTTTAAAAAACTCTGTGCCATTTTGATTGCACTAACATACTGGCTAGTGTGTATGCCCTCCCACCTGACCCCAAGAATACACTGCTCACCTGTGGCTCATCGGCCCTATCCTGCTAACAGAGAAACATGTTTGCTGAGGTGATGGGGGCCTATGTTTTTGTCCTGCAGGCACTATAAAGTTCTGAATGGGTCTGATGTATAACTTAGGCTATGTCTACACTACAATGACCTATTGGAAAAAGGTATTCAGATTGCGCGCTGCAATTTGTGTATCTTTTTCCGATAGATTTTTCGGAAGAGGGTTTTCTGAAATTTGGCCTGTCTACACTGGGCCAAATTTTGGAAAAGTCTCCTCTTTCAGAAGAGCCTTTCTTCCTCATGGGAGGAGGAAGACAGGGCTTCTGAAAGAGAAAAAAAAAAAAAAAAAAAAAGCGGAAGAGCAGATGTGTTCCCTGTACATCATAGAGTTTTTCCAGGATACCTCTGTTTTCCCAGAAAAACCCCATAGTGTAGACATAGCCACAGTGAAAACCAGCTGTGACTTGCATAAATAGTCATATGTTTGTTACAACGTAGTGTGTCTTTGAGGGCATAAAGAATAGCGCATTTTCAAATGTTTTCTCTGCTTTCAAGAACCAACTTCACTGGATTGATTAAAAAGTAGGACTCTTCCATGTGAAAATTGTATACAGCAGATCAAATATCTTCTAACAATGCATATAATACATAAAAAGGTTAAGATTGGTGCAATTTATTCGCTGTGGCTGGCCTTTCAGTCTTAGGGTATGTCTACACTACCACCCTAGTTTGAACTAGGGTGGTAATGTAGGCAACCGGAGTTGCAAATGAAGCCCGGGATTTGAATTTCCCGGGCTTCATTTGCATAAAGCTGGGCACCGCCATTTTTAAATGTCCGCTAGTGCAGACTCCGTGCCGCGTGTAGCCGCGCGGCACGGAGTCCGCACTAGCGGACATTTAAAAATGGTGGCGCCCGGCTTTATGCAAATGAAGCCCGGGAAATTCAAATCCCGGGCTTCATTTGCAACTCCGGTTGCCTACATTACCACCCTAGTTCGAACTAGGGTGGTAGTGTAGACATACCCTTAGGTATTAAGAATTCCTCCGAATCATGGCTTCAGAGTTCAATGGAACATACAGGATCTGCCACAACAGCAGGGGATGTTTTGCTGTGAAAGCAACTCTGCACACAACTGTATAAAAGCCAATAAGGATCGAAACGTGGCCCATCCCTCCCGTCTCAAACCAACCAAACAGAAGATGAACCTGGTAGTCATATGAGGCAAGGTGAGCTCAACAGTACTTCAGAAGCAGGGATAGATGAGGCTAAAAGACGAGAGACATGACAGGACAGTTCAAATTTGAAAAACTGCACAATAACCAGGAAGTACCTTGCATAGACTGGAACTGACGTGCTCTTAAATGGTCTTAATTTCAGATTAGCAAGAAGATTAAAAGGTGTGACATAGTCAAAG